GCCCTTTCCCCTCCCCTCATTAACTTGTATCAGAGAAAATCCCCTAATAATCCGCACTAGAATGAATCCGTCAATAGCAGATAAGCTGGTTATCCTATCTACAAGGAGTTAATACCACTTAATATCGCATTAAATCCTGTGGTAACAATGAGATAAACTCTCAAATTAGTCGATTTTCCAATCCCACATTTTAATAGATAGGGCAGAATAGTTCCTACAAATATCTAAGAAAGTAAGGCCAACAGGCAGAACAAAGAATATCTTACAGCACACAGTCGTTCCGGATTTAATCTGTCAACGGCTGGTCGTTTTGTCCAATATTTCGTTGGTTCTACAGCAGATGTTTGAGCATATATCGTTTTGTCCAAGCGCCGGCAAGACTTCAGTTCCTGCGCTAAATCGCCCTCATCATTCAACTCTGATAAATTCATACGTATCTGAAAACAAATAAATAGCGATACGTTTCAAATAAATGGCAAAACATAGGGTGTATGCATACATTTTTGGCGCAACGTGTTCGGAAGATGCTTATTTTTAGAAAATTCTAAAAAATATTCAACTGGGGAACGTGGCGCGCTAGAAAACAGTGAGCGGAATGTGCTCAGACATGGGATAAAGCTGGGATAAGGGAAGAAAGGTCATTTCACTTTTTTAAGCCGTGTTCATGACTTGGGACTATGCAATCAAAATTAAGCCTTTTTGACTTATCTATTTGTGGAATTGAGAATTTCGGGCAGATACATGGACATTCAGGTAAGTAATAAGAAAAACAGAGACGTGCCTCGCTAAAATGCAAAAACAAAAAGTGCACGAAAATACAAACAATTAGATGAATAGGAATGTTTCGGTCCATTAAGTCATACACATTAAAGGTTGAAAAGAAAATATCAAGAGAAGGAAACAACGAAAATGAGGAAAAGAATAATAAAATGGGAAAGGGGTATAAAGAAATATTTGTTATAGGTAAGAAATGTTTCGATCCATTAAGTCATATACATACTTATTTAGCACCACAACTGAACCTCGTCAGTATGGCGGTCGCGGCGTTGATTAAATAATTTAATAAAATGAAATTAATATTTATAAGAAAATGGATTATAGTTCCAAGAGACAAAAAGGATATAAATTAAAAAAAGACGAGCAACGAGCAAAGACTGATTGAATGGCATAGAAAAAACTTGATTTTGTAAAGCACGT